ATTGTGAGTGTGATATTCGTTTTATACAACAGTTCTATAAACTATAAATCTGTTATAGACACAGACACAGTATGGCCAAACATTTTGTTTATTTTTGCTCCATCAATTAAAAACAGTTCCCAAAGAGGCCACAGCTGGATAGAGTGTTGTGTGTTGCCATGCAAAGCACAGACTGACTGACAGCCCAAAGTAAGTGTAGTAACAATTACATTATAATGAACTTTTGCCAGAATTGGTATTTAATGTAGCGAACACAGACAGGCAGAATGATACAAACAGTGAAATCTCCCAGAGCTGTTATACTAAACATCAGCACTTACGGAACGGCGCTTGACCAATCAAATTATTGAACCAGAACTAACTGTTGTAAAAAGGAAAATAATCCACAACGTTGTGGGTTAAAATTGTGCTTTTTTCTTTGTGATTTGTCAAGAATTGCAATTTGTAATTTATTAATGAATGGTGCTTTTTAACCATTTATGGTTACATTCAATGCTGCGGCACATCTGCGAGACAATTTCTCGTTATCACTTACGTTATAAACCTGTGATTTGCCTTACAGCCGGGACTACTGTCAGAGCCGTGCTGTTTTAGAAAATTAATCCACACCTTCTGACCAATCAGATTAGAGAATTCAACAGCGCTGTGGTAGAATGTATAAACTTTTGCTGCCAAAGATGTGAGAAAAAAGAAGAGTGAACATTTCCGTGCAACTGACAGGTGTCTGAACACCTAACAAAACAACACTGTTATTAAACATATTTTTAATAATAATAATAATAATAATTTATTTATAAAAAAAAAAAAAAAACTTTTAACACTTGTTAACAGGTGAATGTTGAAGGTGTACCTCTGCACAGGTGATGTTGTTCCCCGGAGCTTTCTCCTGAGTGTCAGCGCCACTGCACGTGCCCTCGCCCAAACTTTCCTTTCCCTCACGGCTGTCGTCCATTCTTCGTCGTTAGTTTTTAAATATTTTATATATATATATAAATATATATATATATTTTTTTTTCTTAAATATTCTGTTATTTTCAGACGACCATAACCATATCCTGCTTTGGGTCTTGTTTCCAACGAAACTGAGACGTTTAAACCGTGTTACAGTAAATAAATGAACTTTAACGGCGTTTCTCCTCACAGCCGGTTGCTACAACATTAAATCCCGCGAGTTAAGCTTTGCGCGCGACAATAACAACACCGAGCTGCCGCGTGCAGATTTACACACAATAAAAGTCAACACAAAAAATGCTTTTTCACTTAAACAACAACCACAACAACGTTGAAATGTCACACATAATTATTCATGGTAATTAATACAGCCAGGTAGAACCAAAACTTTAATTTTGTCTTTGTCAGTCACATTGAATAAGGCGCTGGAAAGACTTAAGTGCATTTTATTTTGAAATGTAAACACAGTTTTGAACACGGAAGTCTAGAGTAGGAGGTGGGGGTGGAGGAGGAAAGCGGGCAAAATGGCGGTACCTATGAGCAACGTGGATGAGATCCGTGACAGAGTGATTTTGGGCGAATTTGGCGTAAGAAATGTATGTATAATATCAATTCGTTATCAGATTTATAGGAAAGTGAAGAATATATGCTAATAATAAATACACTTTCCTTTGTGGCTGTCTACTGATGACTGTTTACATTGACACTGACAGTAGCTACACCATGTGTATTAGATAAGTATTTATTGTACGTGTGAATTGGTAAAGTTTTTAATATGGTTGATCTATAATCTAAATCTAATTTTTCCACAGGTTCATTCTACAAATTTTCCTGGTAATTATCCTGGTTATGATGACACATGGGACCTCAAGAAGTTCAAAAAGGTACTCTAAGCGTTTAGCTGCTCTTACTTTGGCCATATAGGTCTGATCTTTTGCAAATGCTATGCTTTTTCCATACTGCGCTATAACAGAATTTCAGGCTCGATGTTGTTCATATGGATGAGAACACGCTGGAGTTTGATATGGTGGGAATAGACGCTGCCATTGCCAACGCTTTCAGGCGGATATTACTAGCTGAGGTATGCCATTAATCATTCACTATCTCTGTTATCCAAAAGCATTTCCTTAACCTTGTACACTTTCATAAAGACAGACTGTGAACATGGTAAATATTTGTGCAAAGTGACTCGAAGCTGCAGTTTTTCAAACAATGTTTAAGTCCTGATTTTACGCAACATGACAGTTCCATTTCATCTCTCACTTATTATGTTGCATTCATCCAGTTGCTCTATGATGCTGAAATTTTGCTAAATTGCATTAATGAATTGCACAGATTTATACACTATATGGCTAAATGTTTGTGGACACCTGATCATCACACCATATGTGGGCCTTCCACAAACTGTTGCCATAAAGTTGGAAGGACACAATTGTATAGGACTTTGTTTCAAAATTGTAGCATTAAGATTTCCCTTCACTGGAACTCCAGCATGACTGTTCACCTGTGCACAAAGCGAGGTCCATGAAGACATGGCTTGCCAAGACTGGAGTGGAAGAACTCGAGTGATCTGCACAGAGCCCTGACCTCAACCCCACTGAACTCCACTGTATGAATTAGAAAGTCGACTACGTGCCAGCCCTCCTCGCTCAACATCTCTGTCTGACCTCACTAATGCTCTTGTGGCTGAATGAACACAAATCCCTGCAGCCATGCTCCAAAATCTAGTGGAAAGCCCTTCCAGAAGAGTGGAGGTTATTATAACAGCAAAGGAGGACTAAATCAGGAATGGGATGTTCAGCAAGCATATATGTAAGTGATTGGTCAGGTGTCCACAAACTTTTGGCCATATAGTGTATCTACTATATATGGATGTGATGTGTGTTACATTGTTGCATTTGTATGATGAATGTTTTGTGTGCTGATTTGCTAAGTCATGTACATTTGGCAAAGAGATTCTGATTTTATCATATTTTCCGCATTTAGGTCCCAACTATGGCTGTTGAAAAGGTTTTCATTTACAACAATACATCTATAATTCAAGATGAGATCCTAGCACATAGGCTTGGCTTGGTACCCATCAAAGCTGATCCTCGGCTTTTTGAGTACAGAAATGCTGGTAAGAGTTTTCTTTTTGTTACATTCAAGTAAAACAGAGACCCAGACACACAAGTCATATCCCTCTAAAGCACTTCCGGTTTTCTCCAGTCAAACTGATGGTCCTGTCAACACACTCAACAGGCCTGTCAGTTTGAGTACCATTTAAATGCTTCATTCTTTGTGCTTTATTTCTTTAATATCCTGTTTAAACAAGATAAGCATTCTATAAGGCATATTGTTTAATATGGTTGTGTTTGTTCCTTTCTGTTAGGTGATGAGGAAGGCACAGAAATTGACACAATTCAGCTTCAGTTGAAGATCAAATGCACAAGGAATCCCAGGGCATCTAAAGATGCCTCTGACCCCAAAGAACTATACCTCAATCACATGGGTAAGTAGATAAGTGTTAATATCCTATGATTTAGAGATAACTGGAGCATTTGTGCATGATGTGTGTATGCAGGAATCGGTTACTCTTTTTGTAAATTTTAAGGTAATCTTTAGTTTACATTGTACTTGCATTATATTTAATAATTTTGTTTTCTATTTATTTTATGGTTATACTTGACACCTCATTTTGAGGCAGTTCTCTTCATAT